GAGGGGATTTGGGACCTGTCATGTTATGTTTAGTTTTAGGTGGGGCTGTTTTAATCACCTAGAGAAAAAGCAGGATATAGCTGTTTAAATAAATAAACGAATACATACCTGGGACCTACTGCCTGCAAAACAAAGGTGGTCTTTCACTGAGCCACTACACCTCTGAGTGTGTTTCAGGAAAACACACCGAAAATCAAATCATGGGTCTTCCAGCATCTCATCTAGCTTGACCCCCATCTATTTCCACGGTGCTAAACATCTGATTCGTATCCCCTGGCAAACAGGCAGTCCAGTTTGGCCAGTGTAAATGGCAAAAGGGCATTTCTGGCACAGAATAAGATGACAGACCATTGGTGGATGCGCAGGTGAAGGGAGATATATTTTTACCGGGCTTTTTTGCAGAGCATTAGATGTCAGGTGCCTGAAGATCACATCCCCCCGGGGTGGACCAAGGGACGACTGACTGGATGCACCAAAAACAGCATCCAAGGTACTGGAACTGGGAGGGAGAGAGAGTGTCTCTTTCCTCTGCTGTCCACCAGCTGGATGGTCACATGTCTGACTGAGCATCCTTGTCACAAACCTGGCCAACAGCAGCAGCAGCAGCCACTCCCAGCCCAATAACAGTGGAAGGCGGTGGGGCAACAAATGAACACACAAATGGCATTCATTCGTTTCATATATTGTGTTTCCCCCCCTTTGCTTCCATTACTAGAACAAATGTTATGAATGGGTCTTTTTCTATTTCCATTTTTTTTCTTTCGATGGGTACGCACATCTCCAAATTAGATAGGTGAGGCAAGTGTTGGCCCCGTAATTATCCACCTTGCTTTCCCCGCCCCGTGCCTCAACGATTCTTAAGCTGCATGTTTAGAATGCTTATCCCTGCCCGTCCGAGACACCCATTCCTCGATTGGTATCTATTTAGGACACAAATCCAAAACAGCAAATATGTTTCTGTTCCATATTGGGAGCGGAAAATCATAGGTATGTAGAAGTTCTTTAAGGTAAAGGTAAAGGTTCCCTTGCTCGAAAGCCAGTCGAGTCCGACTCTAGGGTTGCGGTGCTCATCTCAGTTTCAAAGCCGAAGAGCCAGCGCTGTCCGAAGACGTTTCCGTGGTCATGTGGCCGGCATGACTAAACACCAAGGTGCACGGAACGCTGTTACCTTCCCACCAAAGTGGTACCTATTTACCTACTTGCAATTTCTTGCTTTCGAACTGCTAGGTTGGCAGGAGCTGGAACTAGAGACGGGAGCTCACTCCATCATGTGGCACCCGGGTCTTGAACTGCTGAACTACTGACCTTCCACAGCCTGCAGTTCAGCGTCTTAACCACTTGAGCCACCACAACTCAAAGTTCAGCAGAAGTTTTTTAGTAAATCGTTAAAAACAGGTCCTTCGTTGTCATTAAAAGTTGAGCTGCTTGTTATCAGAAATGTTTGGGGCACAGCTCGGGTTGGCTTTTAAACATCGCAATGGTTATAGTGCCCGAGAACTGGGTTTGTATGTTAGACTGAGCAGTTTTTGATGTATCAGAATACGAAAGTATATTGCCGGCTGAAGCTTCTTCACGAACAAAGTGAGAAAATATGAAAAAAGGCATGCAGTCAGGAGAGTGGATTCATGAACAGCAGTGACAAATGTCCCCGGTTGCTGTGTTTGTTTTAAAGTTTGATGATCTTGTGGGGAGATGGAAGGCATTAAATGAGTGACAGCACGGGACATGTTTGAGCAGCCTTATTGGCAGTGATCACAATCAAAGACGGTTACACATTCTCTGTTACATTTTTTCCGACATCCCTCTGTCTCTGTTCACCACTGAGCCTTCTTGACTTTGTGTTAACGCAATCAAAACCTCTTTATTACGAAGCGGGGATAGGAGTCCCTGAGAGCAGAATAACCAAACTCATTAAGGGGAAACACCAGCTGCTGTTATGATAAATGGACATTGCCACTTTCCATCTTGTTCTCTCCATGCCCACCCTCTTGCAGGTACTTCATAGACTGGAAGAGTGATGTGGACAACTTCTTTACAATAGACGGAACAGAAGGTACCATTGCCACAAATGAATTGCTGGACCGGGAGAACACCGCACAGTACAATTTTTCAATTGTCGCAAGCAAAATTAGTAAGTACAAGCAGGAAAAGAATCGCTGCATCCTGAAAGCAGTTCCTAGAACGCGTCATCTTTTATTCATTTCGCATGATCCTATGTTTGCCTATTTAAGCTCCATTTTTGACGTAATATGCATTGTTTTCTCTCGACAAAAGGCAGAGGGAGTCGTTACCTTGGAATGCGTTAAACCCCAGGATAATTCAAACAGTTGTTAGGCTGCTTCTGCCCCAGATGTTTATCTCCACCTTTGCCTCCAGCTGGGAATACTGTTTCTGAGGACATCCACAAAAGGCCATCCTTAAACCATCCACTTTCTAGGTTTCCCCTGTCCTCGTTTTGCTCTTTCTCAAAACTGCTTCACTATGACCTTTTTGGGAGAAAATGCTATTCAAACGTGTGAGCATGCCGTCTGGATAGGAAGGTAGTCTTTTTAAAGGTCCTGTGCACATCAAGGCCTTAGCGCTACTATGCTACAGCAATTCCCCCCTTTTTAAGTCCCCAAAAAAGCCTCCAGTAGCCTGACAGGTAAAATATGCGGAGGAAATAGTGGCCAATGGAGGAATGTGTGCATAACATTATTTGAGGATGCTCTGTTAAGAAGGCAAATGCCTTTGTATTTGCAGAAGCAGTTACTGTTTGGATGCAGTCTGGCATATTTCATTCCCTAGTAGTCCTCTTTTCATCAGTATAGCTTTAGTTGGACATTAACCATGTAATATTCCATTCTTCAACACTAAAAAAAAGCCAACTAGCACTTTCAGTGTGCCTCACTGTGCCCATTCATTAACCCAAATGAGAGACCCACCCTAACAAACAATCCAGCTGTTGACCTCCATGAGTGAAGGATGCTCCTATCTGGAGAAAGAGCCTGCACGTGTGGAGCAAGGCCACATTGCACATTGGCTTTGAGTTTCAGTGAAGGGCCAGGCATACTGCAAAGGACAGTGCTACATGAGCACAGTCAAAGTCCATGTGATGGGCAGGCTAGGTTCTGCCTCTTTGTAAGAGTGGCCAGTGGGAGCTGATGAAATGTTGATAAGAGGGACAATGGGGGGGGAGCAGTTAGTTCAGTTGAGAGTGAGGCTGGCTGAGTGAAGCTGTGGGAGGTGGGCAGCTCAATGCTGACTGAAAAAAGCCAACTTGTAATGAAGAATCCCAAATGCCTGATAGAGAAATAGTTCAGAGGTTCAGCTGAGAAGAAGCTGTGTAACATGCTCCTGATATTACTCCAAAGTTATATTCAGATCATAAATAAAAGTCAGTTCCTTGTTTGTTTAACTATGTGGTCTGGATTTGTATGGTTGCAGGGAAGATGGGTGGTGAACTGTGACTGCCTGACCTAGAGAGTCATGGAGAGTGATAGGGACTCTGAGTGAGTGAGAAAGTGTGTCATATTATTAATAATAATAATAATAATAATAATAATAATAATAATAATCTTTCAATTTATTAATCGCTCAATCCTACAGAGCTTGCTGGCTCTGAGCGATTTGCAGTTACTCATTCAACGCGAGCCTAACAATGATTTATAGGGGTAAGGGAGGACAACATATATCTTTTAAATCACACACTTCACAGTCGGCGAGGGTTTGTTCAGCTGCAGGGTCAGACGTATTCCGACGGCGTCACCTCGGCTTGGCTAGATGACGTCAGCTTCTCCAGGTCTTGCAGCGCCGCACTGCCACCGCCTGGCCAGAATGCCCCATTACAGGCTTCAGAGTCGAAGAGATTTTTTCTTAGGCTTTCAATCTCGCGAGCTGAGCATTCCGGTCGTCGACTAACACCTCCCCCACCGGGGGGGGTCTTTGGTGTGCCCACCCTCTCTAAGTGGTGGTATCCATTTTATCTACTCACTGAAGCTTTCGAACCGCTGGGTGGACGGTGAGCTAGGGACAAGGCTGGTAACTCACACCAACACGGGGCTAGAACTGACAGCCGTACTGTTCAGCTCAGATGTTACTAACCAGAGGATAAATCCTCTCTGCCACCGCTTCCCCATGGTGGATGAGCACTAGGATACTGACCCCCAAATTTTAAAAGTATTCTTGAGATGAAAAGTATTGGCAAATCAGAGAACACCTGTAGAGGTGTGTGTTTGTGTGTGTGTGTAAAATAGGAAATTGATTGAGGCCAGAACCCTCCTGAGGTACAATTCTCAGGTAAAGCATAAGGAGGTGCTGTGAAAAGGAGTGCATGATTTAGTAAAGGGGTCTGCCCTCCTAAGGTAAACAGTTCAAGTAAAACATAAGGAGGTACAGTAATAGAATACCAGGCAGTTTAGAAAGGGGGAAACAAGTTGGCTTTGCCCACTTGAGGTAAAAGTTAAGGTAATACATAAGAAGGAGTTGTAATAAAGATCCCAAATAGCCAAGAAAAGGAAAATAACAGGTTTGGTAAAAGGATTTGATACTCCTGAGGTAAACAGAAAAGGGAAAGTTGTCACTAAAATGCCTCCCAAGCAAATGAAGTTTGTGCAGATGAAGAGGGAGGTGCTGGAGCTGTGCGTAGTGACAGTGCCGTAGGAACAGAACCGGGTACCACAGAAATGTAGAAAAGCACAGAGAGAACTGAATTGGCTAAGCTTGAACAACAAAGTTAATGAGCCAAAATAACAGTTCAAAGAGAAATGGAAGAACAAATTGAATCAGCCAACATAACAGCGCGAAGAGAAAAGGAAATGGATTGAATTAGTCAAAATAACAGCTCAAAGAGAAAAGGAAAAATGAGAATTAGTATTCAGAGGGACTGAAGGAGGCTGTGGTCGTACCACTCTTGAAAAAGCCAACTTTGGATCCTTCCAGTTACCGCACAGTTTCGAATCTTTCATTTCTGGGCAAAGTAATTGAGAGAGTGATTGCAGAAGAGCTCCAGAGTTTCTTGGATGAGACATTGGCCCTGGACCCATTCCAGTCTGGCTTCTGCCCCGGCCATGGGACGGAGATGGCTTTAGTTGCCCTCATGGACAAGCTTCCCAGGCAGCTGGATCAAGGCAGGTCAGCGCTACTGAAATTATTGGATCTCTCAGCAGCATTCAGCATGGTTGATCGTGATCTCTTGACCCACCGCCTTGCCAACATTGGAGTTCGGGGTGGTAGTCTTACAATGGCTTGTCTCGTCTCTTCAAGGCCGGAGACAGAGGGCGGTGCAGGGAGAGAGGGTATTGCCCAGGTACCCGTAAGTAGGTGGAATACCACAAGGGGCCGTCCTCTCCCCAATGCTATTTAACATCTATATACACCCCCTTGCCCAGCTGGTGTGGAGGTTCAGGCTGGGGTGTCATCAGTACACAGTACAGTACCCAATACAGTTTTATCTGCTGATGGATGGCCAGCCAGATTCTGCCTCAGGCAGTCTAGCAGTGAAGCTGGAGGCTGTGGTAGGATGGTTTAAACAGAGCTGGCTGAGACGGAATCCTTCCAAGATGGCGGTTCTCTGGCTGGCTCAGAGAGATTCAGGTGTGGCATGTCCACTCCCAGCCCTTGATGGTGTCCCTCTGAGACCGGGAATGGAGGCCCAAGTCACAAATGTTGCCAGAGTGGCGCTCTTTCATATGCACTAAGCTAGGCAACTAGCCCCATACCTGTCTCGTCCTAAACTAGACTGTAATCCATGCAATGGTCACCTCCAAACCGGATTACTGTAACTCACTTTGCATGAGCCTACCCTTGAGGCTGACCTGGAAACTTCAACTGGTACAAAATGCAGCAGCACGGGTCCTTACAGGGATACCATGCACAGCATATATCCATCCAGTACTGCTTGAGCTGCACTGCACAGATGCACACTTTGTATCTGAAGAAGTGTTGCATGCACATGAAAGCCTTGAATAAAACTTTGTTGGTCTTAAAGATGCCACTGGACTCAAGGGCGATTTCTCACTAGAGCTGCCTTGTGGCGCAGCCGCCGTTTGCCCCAACACAAACATGTCAATTTCATACCCGAAGCTCCAGGGCTGCATTTTGACTCGGGGCTTCACCTGATTTCCTCCACAGTTTTGTGATCCTGGTTTTTGAGGATCATGAAACTGCGGAGGAAATCGGGCAAAGCCCCGAGTCAAATGCAGCCCCGCAGCCTCGGGTGTGAAATTAACATGTTTGTGTCGGGGCAAACGGCGCTGTGCTGCGAGGCAGCTCTAGTGAGAAATCGCCCAAACTCTGTTCTGTTAATTAGGCTCGTGATTGTAGAGAGACATTTTATAATACAACTATAATGTGTTTTAATGCCGCAGAAACCAGCAGGAATTTTCAGGAATGATTTCCGAAGGCTGTTCAAAGCCCAAACAAACTCACCACGTTGCTGCCTAGACCTCCTGGGCATGCTTTGGTAAACAATGAATCACAACCAAGGCCCTTTGAAAGCAGCTGGATGAGATTCAGATCTATCTACACACTCAGGAGAAATGCTGAGATAGTAGAACACATTGCACCACTTTTTGAAAGAGGACAGGACAACCTTCTCTGTAAAGCACAGGGAAAGGCACTATAGTGTAGTGTAGTGGTCCTCACTGGGAAGAGAAGTGAGGTATCAATGAAATGAATAAATATTAGTGAGCCAGCATCCCCATGTCAACGCCTAAAGCACTATCATGATTCCCATGGCCCTGTTACCACCAATGGCCTGCCTTGTTGTTTAGGGAATTAGCTATGCAGCAGGCCAGAGGGGTACAGGGACCGCACACCACTTGTATCCCAAGTTCCAGCACAGTAGGAAGACTCCAGATTTGAAGAGTAAATTAAATAGCTTTTATTGAAGAATTTCTCTAATTGCAAGCACACTAAGCATTCAAAAAGAGCAGGCAATACAGAACTAAGAAAGCAGAGGTGATTGACAGCAAATAGAGGGGTCAGTCACAGGGTGATACAACCTTTCCAGGCATGCAGGGGTCTATGGAGATGAGATTATGGCCCAAACCAAAGGTTTAGGGGTGAACTGCCAGTTGGCATCAGGGCAGACACACAAAATCTGAAGCCATGTGCTCTGACGGATATAGACATTGGAAAACAATACAGACCGATGGAAGGCCTTGGGGGTTGGTCTCAGGTGAGAACAATAGTTTTTCTAAACTGATAAGGAGTTCATGGAGGTGTGGTACCAGGCAGAGCATATTTCAGGTGTGACCCATGAGCTTCCAGAGGGGCAGAGTCTGGCTGCACAATAGCCTTGATGGGTCGAGTGCTGGATGGCTAGTTGAATGGGTCTTTGATGGCCACTAATGGTTCCCAGATTTACACAAAAGGTGGGAGATGGGTCTCTGATGGATGTCAGGAAAGATCGTTAATAATTTGAATGTTTGATTAGTTATCTCGGTATCCTGAAGGATGGGGCAGGAAGAACAGGGAATGAGACAAAGGGTTTCTCACATGGGTATAGGAATCACAAACAGGACTATGTGCAGAGTTGGAGACAGAGTTGGAGACAGAGTTGGAGACAGAGTTGGAGACAGAGTTGGAGACAGAGTTGGAGACAGAGTTGGAGACAGAGTTGGAGACAGAAGGACTATGTGCCAGGTGGCAACTGAATGGCTTTATAAATGCAGATACTTGATGGAACTGACCGTTGTGTCATCGCTGGGTGTGGGGAGAAGACTGGAGTTTTGCTCTGAGGGCTGCCTTGTATGAAAACCTGAGAATGGAGACCCTCCTCCCAGAGCTGTGGCTAGCTCTGTGTTTCAGGCCAGGGGTGCCTTCCTTTGGCCTGACTTTTGTGGGTCTCTGGTTCAGGTCAGGAGTGGTGTGCCCCTGCTGTTGGGGTTACCCTGTAGTAAGGCAGCACCTCTGGCTATAGCCCAACAGCATTTTTTCAAGCCACCACATTTCTGCTGATTGCAACAGCCACATAGACATGAAGGTTCACAAATGGTGCTTTCACATGCACTCCGTTTGAGCTGTGAGCCAGGAGACAGCTTTGCAGGCCCCAATGAGCTGTTTGCAATAGACTTTTGGCAACTGTGAATTGGCCTGTATTCTATGTGAGTGTCCCTGGCTGATGTTTTACCAGATTCTTCTTGTAGTTCTGCAAAATGTCCATATGGATTTCACTGAGCTTTGCAGCTCTGTCCAATCATATCCCATTATGTAAATTTTGACTACTCATTTCCAAGTACAGACAAGTTTCAAAATTGTCCTGCCATCTCTTGTCTAAATAAAGCTTACCAGATGGACTCCAGTCAACTCTCAGAAGCTTCAAATGCATTTGGACTTTGCCACTTTTGTGTGGAGAATCGGATGAAGGTCAAGAACAGGTGCCCACTTTATCAGCTGGGTCCGCTTCATCCCTTGGGCGTTCTGACAGCTGTTTCCCAAAGACCATCTGTGGCCTTGAGATGGAGCACTATCTGAAATCAATGATGAGGCTTAACTCGATTCTCTTTCCCAAGCAAATAAGCTTGACTAGGAGTTTCTTGTGCTGGTCTATGACCGTATTAATAAAGACTTTGACTTTAACTAGGAGTGATTTGAGATCCTCCAAAGTCTCCAAAGGATCAAGTTGGCTTTTTGCTAACAATAAATGTCATCCAATTTAAACTGATAAAGATGGAGAACACACAACAGGAATGAAGCTACAGAGGAATCAGGGTTTTTTTCCCTCAGCAGAGTCTGGTGACTCTGGCAGATATAATGCTGCTGTAAATTCATTTATTGAAAATATTGACGAGCCCGTCATTCTTCTGACAACTCAAAACCCACATGAGTCCAGAACAGGGGTGTGCATTCAGTTTATCCAAGCCAAATCCCCCCCCCCCAATACCTTACCAGTATTTTTCTGGTATTTTTTGAGCCAGATATCAGCTGGGGTATTTATCCCACTATCCAATATGGCCAAGCCTGAAAAATCCTGAAAAATATTTCTTCCAGGTGAAGCTGCAGCTTGGAGAAGGCATTTAAAGGGACTATGTGCCCTTTAAATTCCTTCAGAGTTCAGCTGCAACTTGCAAAATTCATTTAAAGGGGCCGAATTCCCTTTAAGTGCCTTTCCCCCCCTCCATCGAGGATGGGGGTACCTTCTTCTGGTCCCCATAGAACTGGACCCCCTGGTCAAATCTTTTTTTAAATGGGGGGGGGGAGTCTGAGGAGAGTGACAGTAGCTATGCTGTAAATTTGGTGCCTCTACCTCAAAGAACAGCCCCCCACAGAGCCCCAAATACTCCCAGATTGATTCTCCATTATACCCTATGGGGACCATTGATTATAAAGGTTCCCATAGGGTATAGTGGAGCCCCCCAAAAATCAGCAGTCCTGAATAATTGCGGCATCCAAATACCATACCGGTACTGGGATTTGGGAGTATACCCGAACCCGAAAAATACTGGGGGGGGTGTGTTGCACATCCCTAGTCCAGAATAGTCTAGTTGATGGCTTTAAAAATCAAACAAATATATATTCCAAGGGTAGGGATTTTTTTATTAGTTTTATTTTATTTTATTCTTTATCCAAAGTAACTTGGGTCTGTTTGCAATGAGATGATAAAAATGTAGGGTTGCAAATCTCTTGGTGGGGCCTGAAGTTCTCCCAGAGTTGCAACTCATCTTCAGACTACTGAGATCAGGACCCCTGGAGAACATGGCCACTTCAGAGAACATGGCCACTTCTATGCTATACCACGGGTTCCAGCTGAAATCACTCCCTGCATGGGCATCACTGCCAAATCTCCAGGAATTTTCTAGTCCAGAGATGAAAACCCTATAACAACTAGTGTAGGGCTGCACCACTAAATGTATGGCTCGCTAGGTCCAAGTCATACTTTGTGCTCTGCACATGATATTGTACATGAGGAAGGAGTGATGTTTGTGCACTCACTCCACTACCTCCCCACACATAGAGTCAATGCTCCAGGGACCGGAGTGACAGATCTGCCCAGAGTATGGATTGCCTTGAGTGAAGTTCTCTTCTCAGCAGCTTTTTTTTTTAAAAAATTATTTACATTTATATCCCGCCCTCCCTGCCATTCGGCAGGCTCAGGGCGGCTAACAACATATATAAAAATACATTAAATTTCAATTAAAACTGTCAATCAATATAAAATCATACAACTTATATTAAAAGATGGCGAATCTTCCGATTTCAACTCTCAACTGAACAATGTCTTAGTGTAAAAACTCCACCCCCTACAGATGGATAACTCCAGAAGGACTTATCTTCAACAACAAAGAAAAGACGCAAAAGATTGACTCTTGTTACAAAAGCAAAGGCATTTTTGGAACAGCTCCAAAACAACAGCGAAGGATGGAAGAGCAGAGGACAACAGCTTTGCCTATCACTTTTGACAGGAACAAAACTTTTAATTCCGTCCCCTATCCCACTTCTTCCAGTTTTTTTTTTAATGATTGTTCTGGGAAGGTGAAGATTATTAATCTGTACACTCACCACTGTTTACACACAATGCCTCCCATTGGTGGGCACTGTTGTCGTGGCCAGTTCTACTGTTGTTATCCAGTCTGTGTTTTCAGCTTTCCATTGCCAATCCATTGAATGAAAGGTGCAGATATCATGCAGGCAATACAGTTAGTAAAGTCATGCGCGTTAAAAGGAAGTATGTCAGATGAACCCACTTAGCACAACTGAACCCCACAACCCCCAGCACCCTTGGCAGTAAACTAAACAGACACATGGCTTTGCTTGGTGCTCAGGTTTTGAGCCAGAGCTGGAAAGTGCGGACATTCCTATTGAGACTTGCCCAAAGTACGTTGCCGTGTCCTTTGCCCAACCTTTATATCATCATAAGGTATGGCCCTTCTTGTGTGCGTAATTTACCGTACTGATATAGAAGGACATGTCAAGAGAGATTGGCATTTACATCACTCACTGCCACTGTTCCCTCTAAGCTGTGGATTCTTGTGAGCAAAAATTCTACTTTGTGAGCTACTGGCATTAAAGTTGTGAGCGAGCAATTTGGCTGCTGCATACATTAGTTTGCTCTGGAGCCATCCTTCCTGAGCTAAGACAAAAATGTGTGAGCCAGAGGCTAAAAAACTGTGAGCTGGCTCACACTAACTCAGCTTAGAGGGAACACTGCTCACTGCCTTATTCCAGATATATAGTGTTGCATGGGCTTATATACTACAAGTGTTTCATAACGTCTTCCTTCTTAATTTTTTTCTTAATAGGCAATCCACTATTAACCAGCAAGGTCAATGTCATCATAAATGTCCTAGATGTCAATGAATTCCCTCCTGAAATTGCAGTGCCCTTCGAGAGCTATGTGTGTGAAAATGCAAAGCCAGGACAGGTATCTTCTCCTTTCTGATGTATGTTGTATATTGAGCCATAATCAGCGACAGCGATCCTGTGCGATGGTTATCCAAGAACAATAGCAGTTATTTGTATGCTTTGAGAACTTCACATACATGATGTTTTATTTTTTTAATTGAATATACCCAATTGACTTTCTTTCTTTTTTACTGTTTATTTATGAATTTTCCATATACGTATACATACATATATACATTATCTGTACTTAATTATTTACATTTGAGTCTGAATTTTAACAGTATTGTCTATCCACTTATATAGTCTCGACCATCTTTTCAAAAAAACAATCTTCTCCTTTCCCCTGAATTAACAAGCTCAATTTGTCCATTTCTGCTAGGTTTAACAATTTTAAACTTATTTCTTCCCTAGTAGGAGTTGTTTCGGATTTCCAGTGCTTAGCCAAAAGTATTCTGGCTGATGTTAGTATAAGCACCACTAAATAGGCGTCATCATAACTAAGATTTTCCGGCATTAGATGTCAATGAATTCCCTCCTGAAATTGCAGTGCCCTTCAAGAGCTATGTGTGTGAAAATGCAAATTTAACAAGTATGTTTCTGGGTTCAATAAGAGAACTAGCCAGTCTAGTGGGAACTTTTCTAAACAAACAAATATATCGTATAAAAATGGAAGTGTTCGCCGTCATTCATGTCTTTGCTTAGATTACTTTAGATTCAGGGGTCATTTTGTAGAAAAAGAGGTGCAGGAGCTCATTAGCATAACTTATTTGCATATGCCACATCACCAGAAGTGGGTCAGAAGGCAACACCCACCACTCAGGCTCCACTGGACTGTTTTGGATTGCTAGATCCAACATGCAGATCTGTCCTCGCAGAGGAGGGAGAGCTTGTACCTGAATAAAACTTGGTCTTAAAGGTGCCACTGGACTATTTTGGACCGGGGGGCTGGGGGGAGCTCTGCAACTGACCTGTCTGCTTCTTGCTCTGGCTGAGAGCTGCTGGGAGCAGGGGGTGGGGCTTGTTGCATGTGCCTGCCCCCTGGGCTCTTTACTGCCAGAGCTCCGCTCCTGTGCACTCCTGCAGGAAATTACCCCTGTTTAGATTAGTCCTTAGATACTCCAAATGAGGAAGGCTGGAATCTCACTTCTGCCACAGGCTGTCCCTAGAAGCAAAGCACAGCTCTCATTGGAAGCTCTCCTGGAGCAGCCAAGATGGGGTGGACCAGAGTAGGCACAATAACAGTAATAATAATGCTTGGCATTTCTATGGCACTTCAAGACGTTCCACATATAATCCCAAGAACATGTCTGTAACATAAGCAAATGATGTTATCCCCATTTTATGGATTCCAGACTGAGTTAGTGACTTCCTTTCATATAGCTCACACCCGGAACCATAATGGTACACCAGTTCTCAACGGTAGACCAGGCATGTCCAGCCTATGACCCACCTGCACATGACAGGTCTAAAGGTAAAGGTAAAGGTTTCCCTTGCTCGAGCGCTAGTCTGACTCTAGGGGGTGGTGCTCATCTCCGTTTCCAAGCCAAAGAGCCAGCACTGTCCAAAGACATTTCCATGGTCATGTGGCTGGCATGACTAAATGCTGAAACGCACAGAATGCTGTTACCTTCCCACCAAAGTGGTACCTATTTATCTACTTGCAATTTCTTGCATTCAAACTGCTAGGTTGGCAGGAGCTGGGGCCAGAGACGAAAGCTCACTCCGTCACGCGGCACTCGGGTCTTGAACTGCCAAACTACAGACCTTCCACTCTGCAGCTCAATGTCTTAACCTCTAAGCCACTGCGGCTCCTATGACAGGCCTACAGGAGCGTGATCATTTTGTCTGGGATTGCAAAAATCACTGTGGGTCAAGCACATGCCAAGGCAGAATACGTGGCTGGGAGGTCACAGGCGGCTTGATAGGTCACAAGCTGTAGTAAGCTTACATTAAGCGACTGATGCTGCGCCTCTTCTGCAAATTAAGCGTGACTCTCTCAGAAAGAAGTATTCAGTCACCATCTAGTGGGCCTTCGGGATCCACTGAAGTTAGGCAGTATAATCACAAGTTCCTGAGATGGGAACAAAAATCATAAAAATTCAGCAATTTCCTGCCGGACAGGGAGAAATACTGTCTAGTAAAAACACAAAGTATACAGCAAGTGTAAATTCTGCTAACCTTCACTCCCTCGTTCTGCACATTTCCTCCCCTCATTAGCAGTTTCCGTGAACTCAACTTCTCTTGCGGCCCTGCTCAACGGGAATAAAGGCAACCAAATATCCTGCCATTTGCTCTTGTTTTATAAGCTCTGCAGAGTCGGAGGGGAGAGTTGTGAGGCCCCGGGCCATAACAGTTTGTTCGGATTGCATTCAAAAACCATTGCCCAGAGGAGAGAGGACTTGCAGCCTCGACAATTCCGTTGCTTGAGTTATTATACCTACAGAATGAAAATGTTTCCTTGATCTCTTCCAGATAGGCAGTAATCAGTTATAAACAATTGTCCACAGAAGCTGCTTATACAGGCTTTTTTTTATGACATGTGCTTCTCTGAGGCACATAAAGCATGGATACGTTACGGCAAAAGTCCAAAACGAGGATGCTGTCAGCAGTGGCCTGGGAGAGTTGACAATCGGACATGTCTTGTGCTGAATTTCCAAAGATACAGAGGTAAAGTTTCCCTTGCTTGAAAGCCAGTCGAATCCGACTCTAGGGTTGCGGTGCTCATCTCCATTTCAAAGCCGAAGAGCCAGCGCTATCCGAAGACATTTCCGTGGTCATGTGGCCAGCATGACTAAACACCAAGGCGCACAGAACGCTGTTACCTTCCCACTGAAGTGGTACCTATTTATCTACTTGCAATTTCTTGCTTTCGAACTGCTAGGTTGGCAGGAGCTGGAACTAGAGACGGGAGCTCACTCCCTCATGCGGCACACTCGGGTCTCGAACTGCTGAACTACCGACCTTCCACAGCCTGCCGTTCAGCGTCTTAACCACTTGAGCTACCGCAGCTCCCAAAGATACAGAGGCAGAAGGGCAAATAGAATCTATCACCTGAGGTCACCTGTTCACTAGCATACGTAATGTTCAAACATTGACTTAGGTAGTTCCTTCATGAGACAATGCAGTGTAGTGGTTACAGTGTCTGGCTAGGATCTCGGAGACTCACGTTGGAATCCCCACTCTGTCACGGGTAATAATAATTATCATATGGCATTGTGTGTAGAATAGCCAGGTGAGCCTAAGATTGCCTGGCAGCCAGAAGTTCTAGCTCCCTTGGATCCGTGCATCCCTAGCTGTTCCGTTTGCTCTTCCTTTGTATAGCGGCACAAGGGACCATAGGAAAACCCACTAAAAAGGAATAAACATTGTGGGAACAAGTGGGGAACCGTATATGTTTATGGATGTATTTTATAGAGAGCTATGTTTGTGCAACCTTTTCTGCATCCATTCTCCCAGGCATTTGCCCACCTACCATTGAGACCATGCACATCCGATATTGGTATTCCCACACAGCTTACACACACTATCCACAAACCACTCTCATACACAAGCACTCACAAGTATTCAGCACTTAGCTGATTCAGCACTTAGCTGATAGAGTCTCTTTGCTTCAACAGAACAAGGTCCTATTTGTCCTGAAGCCTTCTGATTAAAATTCCGAGCAGTCAGTATGTTTATAGATACACAGACACCTGGACAGCTGAACCAATGACAAAGGGCTTCACTTTTCACTCCACTGAGGCCAAGTTTCTTCCAGCCAATAGCTACAGAGTTTTCACAGCCGACAGCTGAGTTTTTCTGCAAATCTGTTTTTATTTGATAACTCGGTTTTTAAAATTTCTGCAGCCCTATTAAGTGCCCTTTACAGATTGATCAAAGCTAGCTTTGACTTTGCAGACAGATGCGCAGACCAAAGACCAGAGAATCACGTTACTTCCAGAGATTGGGGGCGGGGGTTGGCAGGCAATCCTCTCACATACCATCTTTCCATATTTTACTTAAAACATCATTTGGGGAGGGGGGTTTAGCAAAGTTCCAGTAGGCCCAGAGGTGTGTGTTGTCCCTCAATATTCTCTAGTTCTAATTTTGTTATTTGATTATCGTGTTAAGATTTTTTCTGGTTCCATCAGAGAGCTATGCCCCAGCATTGTTTCATTGTTTTATAGGTGATTCAGATTGTCGGTGCTGCGGATAAGGATTTGTCGCCTGCTGGGCAAAGATTCTCCTTTCGACTGTCACCGGAAATTACTGCGAAGCCAAACTTCACAGTCCATGATTACAGAAGTAAGGTTGTTTTTTTTGTCCATTATTTTGTCCTCTTACTGCCATACCTACAGCCCTGAGAGTCTGGTGTGTGTGTGTGTGTGTGTGTGTGTGGTTTCAGATGCTGAGCAAGAGCAGCACAAGCATTTCAGGTTCAACATTGCTGGCTGTAGGATGACCAGCTGAAGGTGCGGCATCCTCCCTAGTTTGGTGTAGTGGTTAAGAGCAGCAGACTTTAATCTGGAGAACCAGGTTTGATTCCCCAATCCTCCTCCACATGCAGCCAGCTGGGTGACCTTTGGTAAGTCACAGTTCTCTCAGAGCTATTCTGTCAAGGAGAGGAGATTGGATTTATACCCCGCCCTTCACTTGGAGTCTCAGAGCGGCTTACAAACTCCTTTCCCTTCCCCTCCCCACAACAGACACCCTGGGAGGTGGGTGGGGCTGAGAGAGCTCTGAGACAAACTGCTCTTTTTCAAGGACAGCTGTGCCAGAGCTTGTGACTGACCCAAGGTCACATCAGCAGGTGCAAGTGGAGGAGTGGGGAATCAAACCCGGTTCTCCCAGATTAGAGTCCGCACACTTAACCACTACACCAAACTGGCTCTCAAGGGCAGTGCTCTCAGAGCTCTTCTAGCCCCATCTACCTCACAGGGTGTCTGTTGTGGGGAGAGGAAGGGAAGGTGATTGTAAGCCTCTTTATGATTCCAACTGGTGGGTGAGGTATAAATCCAACTCCCCCTCGCCTTCTCCTTCTCCTCCTCCTCCTCCTCCTCCTCCTCCTCCTCTCAGCAGCAGCAGCAGCAGCAGTCCTGCTGATAATTTTGGATTTTGCTATCTTTTAACCTAGTTTCCAATTGTGAGTGGGTGGGGATGAGATTAATACAGGGCAAATTTTATTATTTTATTAAAGAATCTTCTCCAACTTTTGCTCACATCAGGCAGTGTGATACATATTTGGAAGGCAGATCTATTCTGAGCTTCTTACACATCAAAAACACAAAGGTTTCTGCTCTACGTAGGAACAGAGAATGGATCACACATCCCTTAGAATTTTTAAGGCTGGTGTCTTTCTCCAGGTAGCCCACACTGGAAGGGGGATGTCCGCTGCCTGAACCAAATGCCCGGCGGAAGAGCTCCGTCTTGCAGGCCCTTCGTTTATGCAGAAAAGAGCAAGTGGCTGAGTCAACAGAGCGGGCCCTGGGTTGGATCCGACCACTCTTTTTTTTCCGGTGGTGAAGAGGGAAGGGGTTCCCCTTTGGCCACCAAAAGGGCTGTCCTGGGGATAATTGGATCTGCATGGGAAAAGAGCCATATGGAATGGGGGCTGTAGGAAAGAGGGGAATGGGGTGAAATGGAGTGGGAAAGGAGGCTGGCTCCAACTCCCTGCGCACGTTGTGACCTGCCCTGCTGAAGACAGCCTGCCGGCCATATTTGGTGGCCTGTCGGGCTCTGGATGAGATACCCACTGGGGCAGCAGAAAGGGAGAGGAGGGTAATGAAACTGCTGGCCCATCTCCATGGCTGGTAGAAAGGCTGCAGCTTAGGAAGTCACCAAGCATGCAGCGCGGCAGCAGGACCCCATGGATCTGTGCTCAAAACTCAGCTCGGCTATAAATTCACTGGGTTGGCCAGTTTTTGCCAGCTGAGGATCAGTAATAGGTAAGTTGAGGGGGAGGTGTTGCTGAACACCTAGCAAGGGAGTGGGCCGTAAATCCAAAATGAAAATCAACTTTTGTGGTTTGAGCAGGGGTTGGGAACTGAAAATGACCGAGCACCATACCCCCACTACTACTTACATCCCGTCGCTTTTTTGAAGCTCAGATTTAAAAGATTTGAAGAGCAGCTGTAATTAGCTCAAGCCCTCTCCACTCTGACATGGAAGCCTGCTGGGTGACCCTGTGTCAATCATTATTATCCCCCCCTCTCTCTCTCCCTCTCTCCCTCCCTCCCTCTCTCCCTCCCTCT